TGGTGATACATTGTTGAATGTTTGTCTCCCACTAGTATATAAGCTCTGAACTCACAGACCTTGACTGTTTTGCCCACCACTCAGTAAATGTTTAGGAAATGAGTAACTGTTCACTGATTATTTTGGGCCTTTCCTGAATAAAACAACAATCAAATTTAACAGTATTTAAACTACCCATTTGAAGTAAGCGTGGGAACAGATAGTTATAGCTAGATAAAATTTTCTGTTTGAAAATGTACTGAATTTTATTATTCTGACAAAAATAATATTATTCTGACAAAAAATTATTCTTCAAAAATCAGTATTACAGCTTTAGCTGGTTTGGCTCAATGGATAGAGCATCAGCCTATGGACTGAAGGGTCCCAGGTTCAATTCCATTCAAGGGCACATGCCCGGGTTGCGGGCCCAATCCCCAGTGGGAGGCATGCAGGAGGCAACTGATCAATGATTCTCTCTCAACTTTGATGTTTCTATCTCTCTCTCCCTCTCCCTCTCTGAAATCAATAATATATATATATATATATATATATATATATATATATATATATATGTATTCAGAAATCAGTATTACAAAACATTCTAATCCTGTGGTAACTAAACTTCATTTCTCATGAGAAGCAAACCAGAATGCAGCTGAGTCACCATACTGTGGAAAATCCTAAAACCTTTCCTCTATTCAAGGAGACGATGATAACAAAGAATGGCAAATTTCTGGGAGAAGGCAGTGATTGGAAGAATTGCTTTACTGAAGTGGAGTTCTCAATGTAGTCGTCTTGAGTGATCTATGACACTCCATTTGGGAAACACTCTTACATACTTATCTCATAGTATAATCTATTGTCATTAGTTCCATTTAAAGTGTCAGTTTCAAATGTTACTACAGCACATATAGTTTCTTTTTTGAGAATTTGTTTCCCTTTCAATTATTAAGTTATAAATGGCTAAAATGCTTAATGTCTTATTTTGTTTTTTGTGATCCCCAATTCTGATGTAGGGTTAGTTGCAAAAATAATTAAGGAATAGCTTGAGTAAGGTCTAGTTTATGTACTCTTTCTTATTTTAGAGAATACTTCGTAATTCTAGGTTGGACATAGATGACAATTTTATACTTTAGAGTCACCAAGGTGAATATGTAACGTGTATTTCCACATCATTCTTTTAAAAATGGAATGCTGATGCTCGCTGGAGAAAAGCAGCCTTCCTGGACATGTTGGTTCTCTATAACTAATGACTAGATGTTTACAGTAGTCTGGACTCATACAGAAAGGGAAAGCTCCTGTCTTAGGAATGGTCAGCTCTGTTTCCAACTATCTTTATCCACAGCAGGAAATCCTATCTGCTTCTGCCAGCAGAGGGCAGCGTACACATACAAGTATACTACAATTTGTAAAGGCTTTGGTTTCTTTGGCAAGTGTGTTAAAATTCCTTGAGTGTTTATGTTTAGAATTAGCAGTACTGATAGGACAGGAAATTGGCTGGGTGGGACAGTGGTTAAAGGGGTTCTGTCTGAAAGTTTAGATCTGAAATATGTGCTACCATAATGTTGCTGTTCAGTGAGGAATGTCCTCTACATGTCAAACTCCTTTTTGAACTACTCACTAGTCTACCATGTGGGAAGCTAACTCTTTAACCATGGTTTTGATGTAATTTCCACTAAAAAAAGAAAAAGAAAAGTGTTGGGAAAAGTATAAGCTCTGAAGTCTCATTTAGGCTACAGTTCTGCCAGTGCTACTCAACTAGCTGTGTGACCAATGGCAGATTATTTAAACTCCTTTAGTCTCCCTTTCCTTAGCTGAAAAATTTAGATGATAACCCGCTGCGAAAAGATGCAGAAAATTTAATAGTGGCTTCATATAAAACACATAGTTGTAAATATATACTTACTGCTTTCTTGACTCAGAACTTATATATTTCTTGTTATATTTACAATTGCTGTTTGTCTTACAAGGTTAAGTGATAGGTCTGAAAGCTGTATATTTCTATTAGGAAGCCATCTGTAGCTAGCACAGACTTTCCTATAGAAACACTCAATTTCTGGTTATAAAAAGATGATAAATAATAGATAGTGTAATCAACAACCTTAATATTTTATCCACATCTCTCTAACTCCTACTGTTCTCCAAAATTTAACCAGTAGTTAATAAAATTTGAGAAAGGTGGTCTGTAATTTTTCTGTGCCAGAGTTTTCTTTTTTTGTGTGTGGCATTTCCCAATTCTCTCTGTGTTTTTATTTTTCATGAAGTATTTCTTGTTTATTAAAAATCAGTAGAACTCAAGGATTATGACACAGAGATACACTGGGAGACAGATTTGGAAGTGTTAGGAAGACCAGAAGCTAAACACCGGGACTGGCACTGGGACGAGCTTAGTCAATGGAAACATCAAGGGTTGTGTTGCCTGAGGATACTCTTGTCCTTTTAAGTAAACACTTTGGCCTTTGAGATAGTGAGCTGGGGAAAAAAAAAAAATCTGCAGATATTCTTGTTTGAGATGGGCAGGGAATTCAAATAGAGAAGCGGCATGAGAAGGTGGTGAAAAATATGTGCAGTTGACTATCATCTGTCAAGTGTGAGCCCTGGTGAACTGAACTAAAGATAGGATGAGAGAGAGAGAAAAAAAAGTGTGCCACTTCTTTGGCATTGAGGTAACCTAAATTCTGAGTGTTGCAAATAGTGTATTTCCTATAGGCCAGGTTGTGTTTGAAATGTTTGTTGTCCATAGGTATATGATATTGGCATGAATATATGTGATGATGTGTTAGCCATAAATATACGGGATGTTTCATGTAGAACATTTTATTGTAGGAGCCAGGACTTGCCATTTGGATGAAAATGGTACCCAAAGTCCCTGGAGTGTCTGGCTTACCTGGAAGCAGGACTTACGCTGCCAAGTACTAATAGAATGGCTCTTGCCAGACCCCTGGCTACGTACATAGGGGATTTGGAGATACTGGGCGATCCAGTAGTTTTTGTTATAATGACTTACTTTACATCCAGGGGCAGTCAGTCTTGCAGAAAGAATCTTTCAGCATATATCTCATGGGATTTTTCTCTACTCCCTGGGACAGAAAAGAGGTCCCCCCTCCGTTGCCTACCCGAGGTTGCATTTTTAAGGTTGCTAGTCTTTCCAACTTTCCCAGTAGCGTGTGTTTCTCTGTCACTGGATCCCCAAAGAACTCAACCCATGGTCTATTAGGGTATTTGGTATTAGGGGCTTTGCTTTTACTGTATTCTGAGGGATTCTTGAATCTAAACTATTCAGACAAAGAATGTCATAGGTAGTTCCTAAATGTTGTCTAGATAGCCATTAATTAGCACATGCTTTCAAAATTACTTTTGGGTTTTCCATGCTTCTTCTGTTTATTCCCTGTCTCTGACTCTAATCTTCATAACTCTCTGTTCCTTTATTTTATCAGTTTGCCCCATTTATATCCCCCTGGTCAAAGGCAAGCTGTTTTGTTAAGCAATCTCTTTGGTCCAAGAGGAAGCCTATCTTCCACTGTGCTTCAGCTTTTGCCTTCTGCCTCCTCAGGTGAGCTGCATAATTGGCAGCTTTGGCCGGCTAGGCATGCAAGCACCTGAGCCCGAGTCCGTTCCCAGCCTGTCCTTCAGGCCTCTGCCTTCTAAGCCTGCGGCTGCTCTAGTCGCACATTTCTGTCCTGTCTTACCCTCCTCATTACTGCAGCTCCAGGACAGTCCTCAGGATTTCCTGTAGAGGTGATTTTGCATAGCCTGGGGGAGTCACAGGGAGATGAATACAGAAGGGCAGAGCAGGGGCGGACTTCATTGCTCGGCAGTGTGCTGATCCCTCTTGTACAAGAGAGGAAAGTGAGAGGACATTCAGCCACCTGAAGTGCAATTGAATCTACCTCCCAAACAATAAGGGAAGCCTCAGAATTGGGGAAGGTTTAAACCCATTTGGATTTTAGCCAGAAATGCTGGCGTATTAGGTTTGCATTTGGTCTCAATACGAGGAAGAGACTGGAGCAGGAGCATGGAAGACAGTGCCACTGACCATTTTGGAAAAACAAACAAACAAACAAAAAGGAAAGGTTGGGAAGGCTTAAACTACAGAACTGGAGTTATGGTGAAGAGGACACTTAGGATGCAGAGTCTAAGGGTTTAAGATGGACTGAATGAATCCTGTCTAGTGTGCTCAGTGGTCAGCTGCATACCAAAGGGTTTTGGGTTCAATTCCTAGTCAAGGGCATGTTACTTGGGTTGCAGGTTCGTTCCTGGCCACGTTTGGGGCATGTGCAGGAGGCAACCAATCGATGTGTCTTGCTTCCATTGATGTTTCTTTCTCTTCCTATCCCTCCCTTCCACTCTCTTTCTGAAAATCAATGGGAAAAATATTCTCAGGCAAGGATTAACAAAAGAAAAAGGAAAAGAGAAGACTGAATGTGAGAAGAAAAGGGACAGGGATTTGGCCCAGGTTTCTGATTTTACTGATGAGGTGGAGAATGAGGGAGAGACTTTTAAATATAACCAAGTGAAGATATTTCTTCGAAGAGTAGTTCAGGAAGTTACCAGGTATAGTTTGTTAACTGAATATAGATGTACCCGCGAACAGTTTGATTTATCTGTATGACATTATATTGATACAAATGCAGTAATTTGTTGTTAGATGCTGTTGGAGTAGACACTTCCTTGTTTGATAATTTTTGTAGACATAGAAGATTTCATTTTGTACTGAGCTAGGAATCAGAAGATCCACAATTAGCTCAATTTATGTTGCCTGGGATGGCTCTTTGCCCTCTCTGGTCTCTGTGCAGAGAGGGTTATGTGGATCAAATGAGGCAAAGTAGGTGAAAACACTGGATATCCAAGCAAGTATAAAGTGGGTGATATGTTTTTCATTCAGGTAATAAAAAAACAATAGGAACACAGATATGCACCACAGAGGGAGATTCTGCTTACAGTAAATGACTGCTTTGGTTACAAACTAACTAAAGAAATTAATTCAGACTCTTTATTTTTTGTATTTACCAACCAACCAGAACCAGGACCAGTATTCACATCTGCTAAGCGATCAGTTTCTGCCGTACCAAGGCCATAATTCCTTCCGGGAGAAGTATTTCAGCGGGATCACGAAAAGAACTGCCAAGGAAGAAAAATCTAGCCAGGAGTGAAAATTAAGATTTTGACAATGAAGAAAGACTAAGGATTTCATAAAAAGGACATCTGGATGTGAACTTTCATGTGTGATACAGAAACATGCACTGTTTTAAATAATTTTATATAACAAAATGCTACAAAGTAAATTGAACAATTCTTTTAAAATCAGCCTCGTTTTATGGACTATTTTGTTGTATGTGGTCTTTTGAACCTTATTTAATTTATATTTGTACTTTCAAGTATTATGGAAATTAAAAACAGTTATATTTTTGGTAATTAATTTACAACGGAAACTGCTATTGTTGACTTTTTAAACAGTTATTTCAGACTGTATTATAGGCAGTTAATAGTGGTTGAGAGTTTAGTCATTAGAGTTAATTGTGTTTTTTTATTGTAATTGATTTACATTGCCACTAATAAACCTTACTGAGGATTTCTAAAATTGTAGTATTCAGTGCTTTTAAGGGAATGAAGGAAATGAAATTTTTTTTAATTTTAATTTTTTATCAGTGCCAGACAAGTAGTTCATAACAGTGGTATAGTGATGGTGAGAACAGCTAGCACCTGACAACCTAAAAAGCTTACAAGCTCCTTGAGGCCTGTCCACATCTGAAGCTCCTCCATACCTTGGATTTGCTCCCGCAATCCTAAACTTTGACCTAGGGTTAGAATTAGGGCACAAGGTTAGGATCATGGCTAAGGATCACCCCAACATGAGGAACTGTATTAAAGGATCATGGCATTAGAAAGGTTGAGAACCACTACCCTAAACCTAGCTCTAACTATAACCCTTACCTTAAATCTCCAGGTGATTTCAATATGCATGCAAGGACCCAGAGGCTAAACCTAACCCTAACTCAAGCCCTAGCCCTAATCTTAACCTTAACTGTAACCCTAATCCTAATCCTAAACATAGCCCTAAATTTAACCCTACCCCTAACTGTAAAACTAATCCTAAACCTAACTCTAGACCTATCCCTAATCTTAAGCCTAACCCTACCTTTTCTCTAGCCCTAACCCTAACCCTAACCCTAACCCTAACCTTGTGCCCTAAGCCTAGCCTTAACCCCAATCCTAACCTTAACCTTAGCCCTCACCTTAACACTAGCCCTAATCCTAAAACTAGCTAGCCTGGCCTGTGGGATCTGGTCCCCACCTGGTGGGTTGGCTCCATGCTCACCTCCAGAAGATCAGTTGTGATGCCCTAGAAAGTGCATTTTAAACATCTACCCACATAGTTTTGAGGTAGGTGAGGAGCAGGTCTCAGAGAGGCTGGGACCCGAGAGGTGAGGCAGATTGTCCTTCTTATAGCCTAGGGAATCCTTTCTGTCTTCGTTAGAACCTTGAGGGCTAGGCTGTCAGGGGAGAGGATGATGAGACAGGTATGTGGGCAGCTGCTTTGGGCTTTGGGTAGAGGACAGAGGTAGGTTTAGGGTTAGGGCACAAGGTTAGGTTTAGAGTTAGAGCTAGTGTTAGGGTTAGGGCTAGGAATAGAGGTAAGTTTAGGGTTAGGGCTAGGGCTAGGGCTTGGTAGGGTTAGGGTTAAGAGGTAGGGTTAGGGCTAGGGTTAGAGTTAAGAGGTAGGATTAGGGTTAGGGTTAGGACAGTCTGCCTCACTTCTCAGGTCCCATCCTCCCTTGGCCTGAGTCAACATTCACCCACATTCCTGGTGGAGGCGACCTGGAGCCTCTCCCAGCTGCTCCAGCCTTCCCAGGTTCCAGTGTTTTCAATGATTCCCGGTGACATCCTCCTCACCTACCTCAAAACCACCTGGGTAGGTATCTAAAACTCACTTTCTAGGGCACCACCCCGGATCTCCTGGAGGTCGGCATGGAGTCTGCCAACCAGGTGGGTTCCAGATCCCCCAGGCCAGGCTCAGCTGACCCCAGTCCTGCGCCCCCTCAAAAACAGTTACAGCCTTCACCCTCTTTACCAGCATCTTTCTGGCGGGGCCATCTCTGTGCTCCTCTGCAGAGAGGCTGTGCCTCAACCATCCCGCTAATTGTAACCCAAGCCCTCAGGTTAGGGCTGGGGCCAGGGTTAGAGCACCAGTTTAGGATGAGGATTAGGACTAGAGTTAGGGTTATGACTAAGTTTAGGGCATCAAGAGCTATCTCGGAACTTCAGTGGGAACGTGATATTATCGGGCTCGGTCCATCACCAGCTAAAATGCTAGTCAGAAGGTTAGCGACGTCAGAGTGGCAACCAGAGCAGTGGTAGTAGAGACAGACTGGAGAATATTTAGAAGAGAAGCAAGTCCTGGTAATTGGGAACAGGGACGAGGGAGGAGTATGGGATGATGTCTGAGGCTCCAATGGGGTGACTGGGTGGATGGCATGACACAAACAAATAGAATGGTGGGAAAAAGATTTGTTTAGGGTTGGACATCCTGAACATGGGGCATCTATGGAATGGCCACGGAGAACTGCGTAGCAGCTTGTTGAGTGTGCAAGACCAAAGCTGGACAGTGACTGCGTAGGTGGGGAGCAGAGGTCTCTGCATGGGACACGTAACCACTGAATTAAGACACACTGTACAGCTCTGAGGTTCATTCTGTCGAATTTCTCTCCTTCACAATATGTGTGTTTAGCAAAGATACTTGGCACAACCTACTGCTCATGAGATTGAGTCAGGCATTACACATTTTTATTACATGAAATTTATACTTCAATTACTAACGAGATGAAATTACTTTTGAGCAACTTGGAGCTACAGAGAGTAACTCTGGCTATGGGCTGATGGGCCTCTGACTGAAGTGGGTGGGTGTGCTCCATTTATTGTATGCGTTGGTGTAACACACCATGGAGATAGACTTAAACCGATAAGCTGTCGTTAGTGCCTCTACGAAAAACCTGCTAAAGAAACCCACAGGCCACCACATCTTACACTCAAGACATGGAAAAAGAAACACTCAGAGAACTTTTTCTCTCTTCTCCTTATCCTTTAAAATTAAAAATGCTTCCTTTCCTTTCTCTTATTTAAGTAACTACATAATAGCTTTTGGGCAGAGACATAAAAATTACTGGTAGGCAAGAATATGGGGAAATTTGTAATTAAATTGGGGTTTCATTTGTTTTTTCATTTATTAAAAAATGTTGAGCCAAAAATCCCAATTTTCCCCACCCCCTTTTTAAATATCCTATGCATTTGGCAGAGTACATGACAAAACCTCTTTCCAGCTGTGGGCCAGGCAAAATCCTTTTCTGAGGCTCCAAATCATTTGCATTAGACTGACTGGTTGACAGCATCACAGAGAAATCCCGTCAGAAAATGTCCTGAGGTTCCTTGACAGTTCTACATACAGTCTTATCTTTTGGAGCAAAACAAATGAATGAATGTCTATTCTTTTATGTCGCCTTTGTTAGCTTGTTTTCTTTCTTAGTTTTGGCGAAGTAGATCAGGAACCTGAAAACTTTTGGCCTCCAGCCTGGCTTTCTGAACCCCAGGAAAGGAAATTGAACAATGCTGAGTGGTTCCCCAAGAAAGAAGGGCAGCTGGTGCTGTGTGATGAACAAGGCTCCCGGTGAAGACATGACCCGTTTCCACCAGCTGAAAGTGGTCCAGGAGACTCGATCCTACAGATGATGGCGCCGAGTGTATCAGAACCAAGTGCCACGCCCGAAGCCTGTTGAGTGGGTCTCTGTGTACCTGGTTGCCATTATCAGCAATGAAAACAACACAGCCCTGTTCTCTGAGCTTATCGTCAGCCTGGGGGCTGGGGATGGTGTTAAACAAAAAGATAAATAATAAGCCCAGCTGGTGTTGCTCAGTGGTTGAGCATCGACCTATGAACCAGGAGGTCACGGTTTGATTCCCGGTTAGGGCACGTGCGTGGGTTGTGGGCTAGATCCCCAGTATTTTGGGGTGTGCAGGAGGCACCGACCAATGATTCTCATCATTGATGTTTCTATCTTTCTCTTGGAAATTAAAAAGATGTAAGTAGTCGGTTAAATTAATGGTCAGTCTTTCCACAGGGTAAACCCAGAGTAAGTATAAAAGGAGCACACAGCCACTTCTAATATGGTGGGGGTATTACCAGGTGTTTCTTGTATTTTGACATTTGGGGCCTTGCTGACTCTGGAGAGACAGCTTCTCCCAGAGTCAGTCGATTCCTAGAAGTGGAAAAAGACTCATCTGCAAGGGTAGGTTTCCTATATGCAAACTGTGTGGTCCAGAGCACACATGTGCCACCACCCTCTCTCTGGCTTTAGCTTCTGGGCCCCTATTCCCCTGTTTGATCCCCGCAGGGCAACTAGGGAGCACCCCTGCATCCCAGAGCCCACTGAAACTATTCACACTACCAGTGGTAGGCAAACTGTGGCTCGAGAGCCGCGGTTTGTCACTCAGTTGATTAATGAGTTTGCCAACCACTGACCTTGACCTTTGATTCCAATAATTATAGGCTGTTGTTGTTCCTTGTGATTAAGCCCCTATCCCAGTGGTCAGTAAACTCATTAGTCAACAGTGGCAAACTGTGGTTCGTGAGCCGCAGTTTGCTGACCACTGCTCTAGCCCATCCCAAACCTGCTGACCCAGCCTTACTTGTTCCTTCCCATCAGACCCCAACAAAGAATCTTGTCCACATGTTTCTCTCCTTCCCTATGCCTCCTGACACTCTGGGGGCCCTGTGCGACTCAGCATGCCCTCTTCTCTTGGAACTGCAAGGAGCAAACTACCTTTTCAATGGCAATTGTCTTCTGGCCTGTTGGTCTCATGGAACCTGAATAATCATAAATTACACATTTGGAAATATAGTGCTGGGTGAAGGCTGGGGCCAGGGAAACTTCTGAGAGGTGGCACGATCTAAGCAGACTCCTGAAGGAATGGAAGTTGCCAGGTGATGCAGGTGGTGAGGAGGGAGAGGGATCCCAGCACAAGGATCAGCATCCAGAAAAGCAGATTTGGACAACAATTCAAGTAGTTCCCGTGCCTGGAGCGCCACTAAATGTGTTGTTGGATGAAGGGAGGAAATGAAGCTGGAGCAGAGATGAGGGCCAGGCCGTAAAGGATTTTCATGCTTGCTACCCAGTTTGGACTTGATCCTGGTGGAAGCTCCCTCCTGTGATGCTCGCTCTTATGATGATGTCAGGCTCTTCTTATAAAATGGTGCCCTGACGTCCCTGACAAAGGGG